CTCCTTTTTCTCTAATTTTGGTCTGCAAACTTAGGTTGTTAACCATCCAGAAGACAAGCTTATTGTTATTACCATACAACCTAGGCTGTTAAGTTTAACCTCACTATCTGTATGAATATCAAACATCTTAGACATAACATGGAACAGGTATTTTTCATTAAGTATTGATATGTTGAACTTTAAGTCCCTACAGAATATGAGGAAAAAACATTCAAAAATTAGAATATATTTTTAAAAATAGGCATAAAGAATTATATACTTCTTATGCTTACACATAAGTCCAAAAATCTAACCATATACAACCTTAAAGCAGGACAGTCCCACAACATTGCTTTACCTATCTCTTGCCTTCATTCACCACCCCCTTCTTTTTGAATAATCATCTACCCAAGAGACAGCACAGCAGCAACTGGCGTGTCATGACAAGCAGCCCGTATTCAGAAGATCAGAATGACAGGCACTCCAAGCATAAACTACTATTACAGATTACCATCTTCAGTGCAGTTGCTTAGTTTCTGTCTATTCATTATTGCTGTACAGGAACACTATTGATTCTTGTGTGTGCATATTGACCTTGTTTCCTGCCACTTTGCAAAATGTGTCTACCAGTTCTAAGAGCATTTGGGTGTTCTGCATACAGGCCCATGTCACCTAGAAATAGAGATAATTTAACTTCTTCTTTTCAAACACCTATCCCCTTTACATCTTTCTCTTGCCTGATTGCTCTGGCTAAAGTTTTGAGTACTATATTAAATAGGAGCAGTGAGACTAGACACCCTTATCTTGTATCTTATTTTAGAAGAAATTCAGTTTTCCCTGATTCAGTATGATATTGGTATGACTTTATCATAAATGGCTTTTTATCAGACTGAGGTAAGATCTTGCTGTATCTGTTTCCATCTGGGTTTTCACTGTGAATGAGTGCTGAATTTTGTCAGTTTTCTCTGTGATGTTTTAAATCCTTCTCTCCATGTGTTGCATTGCATTGGTTGATGTTTGTATACTGTACCATTTGGGCATCATTGGGATGTAATCAACTTGATTGTTATCTATGGATTTTTTTAATGATTGGTTGAATTCTATTTTCAAGTGTCTTATTGGAGATTTTTGAGGAATATTGATGTCAGCTTTTTTCTCTAGTTCTGGCAAAATTCAGTGGTAAATCCAGTGATTCCTGGGCTTTTGTTTCTTCTCCCCCCCCCTTTTTTTTTCTACCAGGGGTTAAATTCATTGTCTTGTGCTTGCCAGGCAAGTGCTTATGCTGCTGAGCTATCTCCCAGCCCTCTGGGGCTTTCCTTAGTTGGTAAAATTTTTATTATTGCTTCGGTTTCATTGTGTGATATTTGTCTCTTCAATATTTTATATCTTCTTAGTTCAACTTGTTAAGTAGTAGATGTCTAGGAATGTAACCAGTTTTTCCAGTTTCGCTAATTTATTGGAATATAATTTTTTGGATACTTTCTTATAATTCTGTGGCTTTCAGTGGTGTCTTGTAATTGGGTCTTTATCATTTCTATTTCGATTTATGAGGGTTTTCTCTTTCTTTTGGTAAGCTTGGCCAAGTGTGTATCAGTCATATTTATCAAAAAATCTGGAACACTTTATAAATTTGAGTGTCATCCTTAGGCAGGGCCCAGGCTAATCTCTGTATTGTCCCAATTTTAGTATATGTGCTGCCCAGTGAGCACTATCACTTAGTTCAGTATGGTAAGGAGGTAACTGTGATGGTTAGCTTAACTTGATGGGCTTCAGGCCACTTAACAAAGCTAAATATGTACATGGCTGAAAGGAGGTAGAAGAACTCCAACACTGAGTAAAAGGTTAGGAAATTTAAAAGTATGGATTCCTAGAAACATGAGGAACAATTGGGCTTTTTGGGTTCTCTCTCTCTCTCTCTCTCTCTCTCTCTCTCTCTCTCTCTCTCCCTCTCTTCCTTTTTCTCCTTCTCTTCTTCCTCCTCCTCATTTTTATTTTGCTTGAACAGGTTATTTAAAAAACTGTGATTGTATAAACCTGGTGGAAAAATCACAAGGTTCCAAAATCTTGCAGATGTAAAATAAAAAGACATCATCCTTAAAAAAAAAGTGTGGATACTGAGGGGCACAGAGGAAAGGGGTGAGCACAGTAGGTATAACACACAGTGTGGTCAGTTGACATAGGACAGAGAGAAGACGGAGGACAGAAAGTGGAAAAACTGGCTGGGCCTGAGGCTAAGACTTGGAAGATGAATAAGCTTGTGAGAAGAGTCAGTAATTTAAATCATTTTGTCCACAATTGCTCAGATTTGATCATTAGAGATTATTTTCCATTGGATGAAATGTTCTTCATTTACCTCCGTTCTCACTTAAAATATAGAAGTTTCTGGAAGAAGTAGTACATTAAGACACCTTTCTTTTTTCCTGTTTATTTCCTGACAGGGATGGCCTGGGCATGAGTGGTGGCACAGGATTATGTGTGAAGAAAAAAAAAATCAGGATATGGAAGAAGAGAGGAGCTTCAGACTCTTTTTCAATAGTACCATATTTTTAATATTAATTTTATTAAGAAAAAATTGCAATGAGACAGTTTCAAAACAGGCTAGTAGGAGAGTTACAACAATTAATACATTGCATCGTATTTGATCAGGCTCTACTGTCACTAGGAGTGTGCTGGGAGGACAGGGAATGGGTGCCTCAGGGTGTCAGTCTGCTTGAGATTGGAAGTGAGTCAGGGAGGATGTTTTACCTGCAGCGGGGGACGGAGAGGGGGCGAGAGGGCAAATCCCCGGGCTCCAGAGCTGAATAACTCGTCTGTGTCCCTGCTGAATGCTGGGCAGCACGTTGGCCACACACAGGAAGCAGCGCATTTCCTGGCAGAGCCCTCAGGCTGAGGCAGACTGAGGCTCTTCCCGCCCAGTGCTGTAGGCACTCTGGTCCCAGGGAGAGGCCTGTATTGATGGTGAGTAATAAACAATCTACCTTGGCTTACAAGAGCTTTGGAAATCCCGAGTGGCTTTTGGTTCTCACGTATTCCCTCGGGACCAAGCCACCATTCTGACTGCAATTAGATGAGGAGGTGAGGGTTCCCCGCATCGTAAGGCCGCCTCGCTGGGGGTGAGAAGCTGTGAGTGAGCGCCCCGTTCACTCCTGGCACTGGGTCAGACTGGTGACAGGAATAATGGCGGGCGCCCAGCTTGCCAGAGTATCAGTGTATTTTCATTTCTCCCACCCTTAGCAAATGACACCTATGAAGGTAAATGTTAGGTAACATGTGAAATACTCCTGGCTCCTGAGGAGAAAGAAGATACTGTTCACCAAGAGTGCGTGGGCAGTTACACTAATTTCACAGTGTCTGGTGCCATCTACTGCCCTCTTGAAGTACTGGCAGATGACTGGCTTGGGCATAGGATGGCGATGGTTGTGGCAGATTGTCAGCTGAGCTGTGATGATTATTTATTTTTCAACAATTCTTTTGCTTTTCCAAAGAATTAACTACAATTTCCTTTAAACAGCCACACACAAAAGTACCTGCATATATTTTCATACACATATCTATTGCTAAAAGTAGGAGTAAAAAAAAAAAATACAGAGAAGCAGAACTCTCATGATCTTGTTTTTGGCTTGTAGCTTCTGCCTCATTAGACTGTGTCCTGTTTCCTACCAGAAAGGATCAAAGCACATGTCCTTCTGTGTGAGGCTTAGAACATAAGTAGTTGTCGCTACACACTCTGACTGCAGCCCATGCCGAGCAGCCTGGCGAAACTCACAGCTAGAGAGATTGGGAGATGCCTTACACATAGAGTTACCCAGAGCAATAACTAAACCATCTGATGAGCAAGTTCTTTTCAAGAGTCAAGCCCTTAGAGACAAGAGATGGAGCTCAAGAATCTGCCCCACTAGGTACGGGCCTGCTCCTTCCCAGCTCTCAGCAGGAGTGCCTGTCTCTGACCCCAATTCTGGGTATTAAAGTTGGGACCAATACCTGGATTTCCTACTATACTGTCCATTTTATGCCATATTGGCTCCCATCTTCTCATACTACTTAACTATCTTTTAGAAACAAAATCTAATCCTGTTTCCAGGGAAGGGTCAGGTTTGTATTTGATTCTTAGAGACCCACCTCATCGTGCGCAGGGTACCTACAGCTATGGAAGTAAGGCTGGAAGAACTGAGAAGCCTGCGAGCCAGGAGGTGCACATTCCCCTCCTCCCGATGTCACTACACCAGAAACTGAGCCATTGGTGACTGGTGAACATGTATTTATTGCTGTCTCTTACACGACATGTTCACTGGGCTGATGCCATCGACTAACCGCATGCCTACCCTCTTATGGTCAGTGTCTAGGGGAAGGGTCCTTTCTCTGTAGCCTTCCTAATTACAAGCAACTGTAATACAGCATAGTAGGAATTTGCACATCTGTTCTTTTTTCTTCCAGTCCTAAAGGATTTGTGCATGAAGACAATTTGTAAAAAAAACCCATTCTCAACCCTCCCCAAATGCGTACAATAACCCACAGACCCCCATTTGTGCAAACTCAACCTCTCCCTTTCAAAACTCATACTAGCTGATGATCTGTGATCATTAAAGGTATCTGTTGCCAAATGTATGTTATACACCTACAGAAATACAGAAGTACATTTAGTGTTTGACAGAAGTAGACTGGCTGTGGCTGGCATGTAATTCAGATGGTACTATGTGAACTTAGAATGCCTGAGGCTGGGTTCAAAATCCCAATCACACACACATGCATTTTCTCTCTTTCACACACAGACACACACAGACACACACACAGACACACACAGATACACACACACATTTACAAATAAATCTTTATTGATGAAAAAAATGCATGTTCCTTATTTGGAAAATTATGTTATGAATAGCTTCCAGATCAGCCCTCTAAAATCCACTGAGTTCATGATATTGATAAGATAACAAAATTTGTAACTGAAGTGATTAAGACTGCTGATAGAATATTCAAAATTATGAATGAGACAAAACATTCAATAGAAACCTAAACTTAGCATTAAGATGTTTGGGGAAATACAGTGTTAGAGGAATACAAAGAAGGGACAACTTTTATGAACCTCTAAGGTGCCAAGAATTTGAGTTGATGGTTGCGCTGGCTCTTGAGCCTGTTCAGTACAATAATGTAGAGCTTTCCTGTGCCTGAGTAGATCTACTGGCTTTGATTTACCAATCTGGCCTTTCAATTCCTGTTGGAATCGAAACAAACAGAAAGCATAAGAAGAGATCTCTTCCCCCCACCATGGGCTTCGAGGGTTAAGATACAGAAGGCAAAGATGGAGTAATAGAGTTGAGAAAAGTACTATATGAATGAAAAGAGAGGACGTCGGCTGTAAGTGGAGAAGAGAATCAGCTCATGAGGGGTCTGTACCATTTTCTTGACTCTTAAAGGAAGAGAATGTGCATCCACCAGTGACTCCTTTTTGACTGACAGTTCCATGTGGTAAAAGGAGAGTGGTGTTTGAATATTTATTGACTTCTGAAAAATCATTCCTAAAGGTTTTTCTTTTCTTTTTTTTTTTGCTGTTGTTGTTTGTTTTGTCTGTATTCAGCAAAATATGAGGTATGATGAAAAACACGGTGAATGCTTAGATTAAGAATATTAGGGTAAAAGACACATTGCCATTAATCCTCCTCCAAGTAATCCTTACTTCACTTATCCCATTGTTCTTGTAACTATCTGAAACATTTCTGGCCGTTCTTTTTCTGAATGTTTTAACTGCTCTGTTGTGGCTACCTTGAGGTCCTGAATCAATTCAAAATCTGTATTTTTCATGGGCATTTTGTCTTTGAGAAAGAGACAGAAGTCACATGGTGTCAGATATGGAAAGTAAGGTGGGGGAGAATACTCTGTCATCTTTTTATTTGATAGGAATTGCTGAAAACATTTTGAATCAATTCAGGAATCATGGTAGCCATGAGAACACGTGAATGACAACTTCCAAGCCTGCTCCGGAAAGTGGCAACAGTGATGGGATAACTGTGTTTGAAGTGAGGGGGTGTATTTTGAGGGAGATTAATGGCACTGTGTTTTCTGCTGTAATAAATTTAAAAAAATTAAGCATTTATCTTTTTATATCACATTGCATACAGTAGATCTGGGAAAGAAGTTTTAATTCAGGAATGTTTTAAAATCTAAATTTAATTCCCCTGTTTTGTCCCCTTCAGAATTGCCAGTTTTGTACTTTATATCACAGAAGCATCTAACCTGGGCTTCTGAGGGTGTCTTCCTTATGGCCCCATGGCCACAAAACGTTTGGTGGTAAGCACCAAGGGTGGCTGTCCAACTCCTTATGTGTTGAACAGCCAGTTGTGGGTCATCAAATGCGGAGGTCATGCAGAGGTCATGCGGAGACTACTGAGGTCATGCGGAGACTACTGAGATGTAAGACAAGCCTAGCAGTTTGTTGGTTTATTTCGGTGTGGGATGAAGTAGCTTTGTCAAGTAAGGCAGTAGACCTCCAAGTGTGGGCCTGAGGAAAGCTTCGTCAGTGTCACTTAGCACCTGGTTGCAAGTTGGTTCCTGGGTCCCACCCTAGTCTCCCAGAACAAAGACATTAAGGTTAATGTTCCTTAGGGTTAGGACACAAGCCACACACAACCTGCAGGAGCATGGGAAAAGATGGGGAGGTAACTGAAGGCCGAGTATTCTTTCTCTGCAATGCTTGAGGCTAGCTGCATTT